CAAACGAATAACCAACGTTTCGGGGGCCGCACAGGGTCCCTTCATCAGGGTGATAATGTGACACATCTCCAACTTGGTGAGCGAACCAAAGAATCAACATCTGTCATTTTAAGGAGAATTATGAAAATAAATATATAGAAAACCACCAGGTGACTATATTGCAACGGAGCAACATTGTCTGTCAATATTAAACAGTTACTTCTTTCTTACTTATATTATCACATTCCCATTGCAAGCCGTGAGAAAGTCAAGTGAGTTATATTTAAATGAGGCAAAGACAAGTAAACAAAAGTCTTGTTTAAAGCAGAAATATGAGGTGTTTCCCCCATAGTTCTCCTAAGGGTCACGGGAGGATATATACTATCCTCCCATGACCCAAAGCTCAGTATATAGCTGGCTACAGCTCGCGCTATACTGAGACCGCCGCAGCCGGGACGGATCCCGACATTACTGTCGGGATCCACCCAGCTGCGTGATTGACAGCTGGCTCTGCCTATCTAGAGGCAGAGCCAGCTGTACACGCCCCCTCTCCCGTCCGTTCCGCCAGTCAGCGCTGGAGGATCGGAGAAGGGAGGGGGGAATCCCTGCAGGGAGCCGTGAGTGACAGTCACGGCTCTCTGCAGGGACAGGATTGAGAAGTGAGTGAGCGATGGTATGTGTTCCCTCACCTCCCGATCTACTGAGCCGACCTGTGACAGTCTCATTGTCACACGTCGGCTCCAACTATGAGGATGAGTGAAAATCACTCGCCTCATAGTTCTCCTTTAAGTTTCATCAATTAAAATTGTTTATTATTATTTTACTTATCTGGAAGAAGCAACAGGTTCCCACTTGACTACACATCAGAGATCAGCTGAGAAACCAGATGATCACATAAATGTTCTTCAAACAAAACTGTCATAAAAATATTAAAAGTCAATTTATTTCAAGAAAATGTAGAACCATGATTTACCAAATGTGCGCACATGTACCCCCTCCCCAACAGTAACAAAACTCCTCCCTATAAAAACACAACGCATGTTAGGCCAGTTGGGTTCCTAGTCTAGACCTATATAGAAAAAATTCATATACATGTCCTGTGTTGATATATATGGAACCCGTGAGGTGGGTGGTGTAAATCAATTGTCTCAATCCATAACACTCAAAAACTCCAAAATCAGGTTAGAACTCATGCTGCAAAGTAACTCCCATGATGGGAACCTGAGGAATGTGAGTTATATATATATATATAATCCAATATAAGGTATCAGAGATCGGTGAATTTGTATCCACTGAAGTCTCAATAGACATGGTCATAGATGAAGGTGAGTTAAGTTGTGCGTCCTGAGGTGCTGCCTATGAACGCTCCCTGATACACAGTATATCTCACTGACGTTGCATATGTGATTTTTCTTCATCAATTGTAAGATGATTTTGAAGACAAAAGTTGTAAACCACCAGTAAGAATGACTGCGGTCTGAATAAGCAGAAATGTATATGCAGGTCAGTGGTTGTGCGTCCTGAGGTGCTTCCCATGAAGACACCCTAATGCACGATATTTCCCACCAACTTGTGTTTGGAAATTTCCTTCCTCAGATGTACAAAGACTTGGAAAGCAAAAACAGCGGAACACCAATAAAGATAGTGACATGCAGATCCACTTTATTATTTGACTTCAAAGTTGTATCCATAACAATGGTTTTGCCAGAAAACGACAGGTTTACCGTAGAGAGAGCAGAGGATGTTCCCTTTCATACACCCCGTCTCTGACTAACACTTCAAACCGATGCAAAATTTAGAAAAGGGGGAGCAGTCACTGTTCTGGTTCTTTCAGTGAGGCATATTAGTCCCCACCATAAGAAGTAGCTATACATTATACATAAAAGACAAAAGAAACATTGGGGGAGGGGAAACATTTTTACTTTACTGTTACTTTAGGTATTCAGACCAGTATTCAAGGGCGTAACTAGAAATCACGGGTCCCATAGCAAAATTTTGTATAGGACTCCCCTCAACCTACCCCGCAACCTACCCAACCACAAAAAAAAAGTAATGCCATTGACTCAGGGGATTGCATACACAAAGTCTCCTTGCATTCTGGGGTGGGAGGGGGCGTGGCAGCGCCATTCATGTCAATGGAACTGCACCACATTTGAATGCAGGGCATTTCATTACCATGCATTCTGGTGCAGCTGTTTAAATGAATGGAACTGCCACACCCCAGAACGCAAGGAGACTTTGCGTATGTGCTTCCTTGCGTTCCGGGCAAAGGTGTAAACGAAGACAAAAGCAACAAAGCCCCGCCTCCTTGTGTGAAATCTTTTTTTATTTGAATAATAAAAACGGTTATAAATACAATTATAACATTTCAGTCACGCATGTCAGTAAGAGACCGCAAGATCCGTGTGTAATGAATGTTCCGCTCCGACTGCGTATAAAAAGCTGCCTCCGGTCACATGACCATACCATCGTACCACCGGCTGCTCTTAGGCTGGATTTACACGTTTCAGGGCATACCCCCTTCCTCAGAATCACAGCTTGCCTTGTCAATGGGAGGGGTTTAAAAATAAAAATGAGCCAATCCAAGGGCAGATCTCTGTATAGCACGCCACCAACCCGCAGAAAATCGGACGATTTTCGGCAGGTTTTCCAGCGTGTTCGGAAGACGAAAGTCGTGCGACCGTACAGTAGAAGCGGTCGCACGCTGCCCATACACCTGCCGATTATCGTACGATCGCGGGATCACCCTAGATTATCGTACGATAATCGGCAGGTGTATGAGCACCTTAAGACTTGCCTCAGAATAATTGGTGAGCTGCACAAACGTCAGCCAATGAGGATCACTCTGCAGCATCAAGCCGCACATTGTTCCGTACAGATTGAACCTATTTATTTGAAAGGTTAACAGCTTTGAACACAATTGGTGAGGCGACTTCACTGACATGAAGCTGATGGTAAAGTCATTTGTACAAAGCCGTCATATACTAGGATTTGTCTTACCACTTCATATTACTCGGCAACCTTACATTTCCTGCTCTCTAAGAACTCTATTCCTTCACAATGGCACCACTCAATCTATCAGAAGCTGCAAAAGATTCACAGCGTCCAAAGATAATGAAACGTATATCAATAAATGACATTTACACTACAAATTAGCGAAAGACCATAAACTGTTCCATAGAAATTCTATCAGTCGCGTTACTTAAACGTTTACAGCTCCGGACACAGTCAGTGTGGTCATTTACATAGCACAAGGCTAATAGTCAATTATAATGCCAACCTATATACGTGTCTAGCTTACCACTCCATATTACTCGGCAATCTTACATTCCTTTCTCTCGAAGACCCCATTCACACTGAGCGACATGGAGAATTGCGCGATTTCGTGCTGAGCGGCATTGAGCTACATAGCGCGACTTTGGGGAGGGACTTCGTCGCTGCTACATTGGGCTGGAACCAATCAACAGCGGTCTTGATGTGACATCATTCTTTCCTTCCATAGTGCTGTGCAAAAGTGACCCTTCTGTAGCGCAATATTGCCGGTAATGTGCAACACCATTGAGTCTATGGGGCCAAATTGTGCGACAAGCGCAGGAAAAAAGGTCAAGTTCGAGCTACAAGCTTGAGCGACGAGCTAGAGGCGACATTGAGCTATGAGATGTCAACAGCTCCATTGAAATACATTGGACAAGCTGCATTGAGCAACATTGCGCGGAAATATTTGCACAATTTTGGAGCGGAAATCGCGCAATAAACCGCTCAGTGTGAACAGGGTATGAAAGCTATATTCGTTTATAATTAAAAGGAGAATTATGGGGTTAAGGCCTTTCCCCATAGTTCTCCTTAGGGTAACGGGAGGACACAAACTAGCGTCCCCCCGTCACCCTAAGCTCAGTATACCGCGAGCTTCTGCTCACGGTATACTGAGACGCCACAGCTGAAACAGATGTCGACAATTATGCCGGGATCCGCCCAGCTGCGTGACTGACAGCTGGCTCTGCCTATCTAGAGGAAGAGCCAGCTGTACCCTCCCCCGTCCGTTCAGCCAGTCAGCGCTGGAGGATCGGAGCGGGGAATCCAGCCCCTCCCCTGTCACGGCAGAGAGCAGTGACAGGATCGAGAGGTGAGCGAACGCCGGTATGTGTTCACTCACTTCCCGATCTACTGAGCGGACCTGTGACAGTCTCATTGTCACAGGTTGGCTAGAACTATGAGGTGAGTGAAAAGCATACACCAAGCAGGGTTATCATTTGTCTCCTCCTCTTCTCCTTTCCTTTTGGTTACAGAGTTGTAAAAAAATACACCATATAGACTCTCTCACTCTCTCTCTCTATATATATTGTATACACTAGGGATGCACTGATACCGATACTACGAGTAGTACGAGTACTCGCCCAAATGCTCCGATGCCTAGCACGAGTACTTCCTGTATCAGGAAGCCGTAGCACCAAAATACCGGTGTTGTTGCATTCCTAATATACACAAGTTTAAAAGTAAATTTAACTGCAATGTGCCCTAGAAAAACTTATAGTTTTCCAAAAGATAGCTGTGAATGCAATTAATACCGTGCCTAGGGCTAGAAATGACTGGGTGGATCATAAAATCAGCTGAAATTGTTATATGTGAGATCGGTACGCTGCAATGGAACTGATTTACTAAAATAAGTAATAATAATGTATCTGTATAGAATAGTGAATGTGTCTTGGATCGAGACTTGTGTTTATGGCATCAGAACAACCTTGTGAATGGGGCCAATCGCATGAATCTCATAAATTCCTCCCTGAGCCTCATGCAATCAGCTTCTGTTTGTGAACATTCACATGTAATCACATATGCTGCAATAAACTGCGGATAATCGCAACCAGATCCATCAGGTCGCTTAAGTCTTGCGGAGATGTTTTACAGATAAAAGCAGATATTTCTATAATCGGAAATGCATTAGTTTCATAATATGGATAGGACTTGTCTCCTAGGTGATTCCTTCCGTTTCCAATAAAATGTATATTATGAATGTGTGACATTCAGAGCATCAAAACAGATAGAATGTGGATCTTCTGGTGTCTACTAAAATTTGCCTTTTGTGCGAAGCTCTTGTCACATTCGGAGCATTTAAATGGCTTCTCTCCAGTGTGGATCCTCTGATGTTCTATTAGATTTAGCTTCTTTGAGAAGCACTTGTCACATTCTGAGCATCCATATGGTTTCTCTCCAGTGTGAGTCCTCTGGTGTTCAATTAGATTTGGCATTTGTGAGAAGCATTTGTCACATTCTGAACATCCATATGGTTTCTCTCCTGTGTGGATCCTCAGGTGTTCAATGAGATTTGGCTTCTGTGTGAAGCGTTTGTCACATTCGGAACATCTAAATATCTTCTCTCCTGTGTGAATCCTCTGGTGTTCAATAAGAGTACTCTTTCGTATGAAGCACTCGTCACATTCTGAGCATTTAAATGGTTTCTCTCCGGTATGAGACCTCTGGTGGACAGTAAGATTTCCCTTTTTTGTAAAGCACTTGGCACATTCTGAACATCTAAATGGCTTCTCATCAGTGTGAGTTCTCTGGTGTTCGGTAAGAGTAATCTTCTGTGAGAAGCGCTTATCACATTCTGAGCATTTAAATGGCTTCTCTCCAGTGTGTATCATCTTGTGTTGAGTAAGATGATGCTTAAGTGAGAAACACTTGTCACATTCTGAGCATCTAAATGGTTGCTCTCCAGTGTGAGTCCTCTGGTGTCTAGTAAGATTTTCATTGTTTGCAAAGTACTTTTCACATTTAGAGCACATAAATCTCTTCTCTCCAGTGTGACTCCTCTGGTGTTGAGTGAGATGTGTCTTGTGTTTTAAGCCCTTGTCAAATGGTTTCTTAGCATTATGAATTTTCTGGTGAGCAGTTAGACGAGACTTCGAAATTAAACTTTTCTCACATTCCGAGCACTCGTATAGCTTGTCTCTTCTGGAAACCATCATGTGATAAAGAATGTCAGCTTATCAGTGGAATATTTTCAGACTGATTAAATGGAGAAATTTAGGAATGTTGGTGGATCCCTGAAAAAAAAGAAAAAATAGAAATAAATGATTATAGATTGACAACAGATAAAGACCAACCTAAGAATTTTACAGAAAAAGGTGCATGACTTCAGTCAGTTTGCAGTTCAGATTATTAGTTCTGATCAATTTTTTTCTAAATTCACACCGCATATGAAATATAAACAATAATAGCTGATAACAGGTTTGTCTTTTCTGAGTAGAGAATGTGATTACTCCACTCAATTAAGTATCTTTTTACTCCAAGCCCCTAAATAGCATTGGTGGCATGATACAACCATTCCCCTTTAGAAGTCCAGAGGCAATAATAAAAACCTCAGGGTGGTTGGGGCTGTATGTGCACATGACTTCGCTCTATGGAAGCCTTAATTACACAGAGAAGTTACATATAGGTAATAGCTAGGGATGCACTGAAATTTCGGGCCAAAAAAATGGTACTATGGGCAAAATGCCGATGGTACAAAAACGGCCATAAATGTGGTGCCTCTCCAGCTTATCTCCTTCCCACCAGATGCTGCCGCAAGCTTTGGTCTGTGCCCCCTCTGATTCCCGCTACTCTCCCCTGCCTGTATCGAAAGAGGCACTGAGGATCGGAGGGGACACAAAGCTGATCCAGCTGCTAACTCTCAGTGGGGAGGAGACAGCAGTCATGAGGCTAATCGGGATGGAAAGCTCTTGCGGGCGGGGGCAGAGTTTCGGAATAAGTAAATATGTTAAATATTTAGCAATCATTCTCTGTACTGAGGAAACACCAAGTGATCAGCACTGATCACTCTGTGTTGCTTTATAGCTGGGGACATTGTAAATAACGGAGGACATAGTGAATACTAACAGGAAGTGCTGTACATAATTTATGAATGGGGACATAGTAAATATTTACTATCTGTTAACTTGATGAATGAAAAGGAAGCAGCTCAGTACAGGGGCTTCCTGTCCATTTGTGACTGGGTTGATAAACATTTACTATCTCCAGATTGTGAATGAACAGGGATCCTTTGTACCGAAATCTTCCTGTTCATTGAGTGCCGTGGATGCAAAAAAAGAGCTTGTGTCCTTAGTCATCTTTTCCATTTTAAAATGGAAATATCAAGGGTCTGTTTAGACTGCTGATATTTACCCAAAGCCCCTGACAATAAAGTAAAAAAAAAACATAAAAAATTATTTAAAACAATTTATTAGGGTTGGAAAACCTTCTATGTCATAGGATTTACAAAGCACTAAGGGTTATCTAAAGATAGTTTAGAATAAAAGCTTTTCCATTTCCAACACTCTCAGTCTCTGATTGAAAAGTCAGATGAGGACATCTTTAGAGAAGGGAATGATTTACTATTCTGGTTCCTTCGTGTGTGTGTGTAAATGTAAGTTTAAGTGGTTAAACTCTGTAAACAACAGCTTTTTTAAGGGAGCCAAGTAGAGCCGTGAAAACTCATAAAAAGTTCAGAGCTCCAAGTGCTGGCTCTATATAATACAAACTTTTCAAATTCATTCATCCTACCATCAGTCTCTAAATTACTACTTAGTAACAGAATCTGCATGATGTACTCCAAATGTAGCCAGCATATCTCTCAGTTTAATGCTCAAAGCATAAAACATGTAAATTGTAAAGTCCACAATCACACAGACTGCACCTACCTGGTATAATGTAGAATTGGGTCCTATAGAAGCTTCTTATTCTCTTGACCAGCAGTTCTTGAATGAGCCCAGCCTCACCTTATATTTATTTCACCCCCATTCACTTACATGTGCTGGATCTCTATTGGATGAAAAGGTGAGATCTACTTCACAAAAGGAATGTTTACATTGTAATGGGGCAGTTTCAGCTGTTCTTTGTTTCAGCTCTCCACCCTAATCACAGCCCGGACAAGTTCATTAACATTCTAATACATGGAGGGAGGACAATAGGAAGGAACCTTCGGTGATAGTGAATGGCAGTTGTCTCTCATCATTAGCATGAACAGGTGATAAGTGTACCCTCAATGTCAAAAGGAACTAGAGAGTTTTTTTTTTTAAATTAAGTATATCTATAAAGAAAACTTTTTTTGGTTTTGTGTAAAGTAGAAAAGGTTATGACCCCTCTAAATGTGTTTTTTTGCTGTCTGTGTACCGTTGGTAAGATTTCCTGTTACTATCCTGTCCGGGGGAACACAACATGGAAGGAAAGGAATTATTTCCAAAGTGAGGAAATTCCCCTCTTTGTTATCACAGTAATAAGTGTTCACATTGGAAGATTCCCCCCTCGTATATATTCCTGTTCTAGTGATAGATGCCACATTTTGGCTTTCCAAAGAGGAATAGAATATGATATATTGATCAATTAGATACTTTTTCATCCTTGGTGTACCGGTATGTAATAACTTAACCAAGTTAAAAAAAGCTGTTGCTGTAATGGCTTAAAGAGGAACTTTACCTATATCTTTAAAATAATACACCTTTAGAAATGTTTAGCAATGACAATCTACAAACACATACTTCTAGATAGTTGCCAGCTTTTTATTTTTTGCATACCTTACCTTAATTTTCTTTTTCTCCCCATTCTTCTCACAGCTGCCATTTTTACTAAGGGCAGATTACCAGATCTCCATTTACTTCCTAGAACTAGGACATGTGACTAGGACATGTGACCATGCACATGATTTCAGGGGAAGAAAATGCCTTTTCCAGAGATCTCATGAGATTATACTGTAGCTAAGATTTCCCAGCAATGCTCTGCTGATGTAACACTTTGGCACTTACATCATTTGTGCCAGAACTGGACCAGGAATTAGATGAACTCTATTTGAAAGTAAATTAAAAACAAGTTTGTTTAACTAATGAATGTAAGATAATATTAAAGGAGCAAGCAGAACTGCATGCCGATGTGATTTTTAGTAAGAGGAGGATAAAGGTCCACTTTAAAAAAAAAATGTTATCTAAAGCTCACATTTCATTTGTTAGTTAGCTGCATTTAAATCTGCTAGAGCATCTAACACTGCCATCTCTACAGGTTGACAACGCTGCTGTCCAGAAGCAGTTTCAATGCTGCTCCATGGAGTGAAGCCACCCTATAAACAGAAAGTGTGTTACTGGACGGATCACCATGTAAAAATAAAGGCAAAAAAGGTCTCAAATAATAAAACTAATGCATCCACTACATTGAAGATTTGGCAAACTGCAATATATACATGTTTTGCTTTAAATGTAAACTACAGAAGAAATGGTGAATCATTGTTAGAAACAAGATTACAGAAGGCAGCTTATATTTAATGTGGTATTTGTGTTAACTCGACTGCATATTCATTATTCCATTCCACTTGTTGGCTGCCTACACAGAACATACATTTTTAGGAAAATACATTTTCAAATAGTATTTATGAAGTATCCTATAACTATTATACTATATACAAGGGATGCATCGATACCGTTATTTCAGTATCAAGTACGAGTACCCATTTTTTTCCCACTGTACTAGTACCGTTGCCAATGCAGAGTATTTGGGCTCCTACTCCCTCGTCCCACTTCTGACGAGGGAGCATGGAGCTGGCTCCCCGGTCAGGATGCCGGGCAGCATGGCTTCATGCTCCCTTGTCACAAGAGGGAGTATGAGCCCAAATACTTATGCCCACTCCCCTATTTTATCCAGGTCCTCCTGTAATGTTATAATGTCTATTGCATTGGCACCGGTACTAGTACCGGGAAAAAAAATGGGTAGCCCTAGAATTATTGCTCTCACTCTGGCACACGCGGAGATACCCAACATATGAAGCGTAATCATCTTTTTTTTTACGTTACTCTGCATGCCCTTGTGAGGGACTTTAACAACTTCTTTTTTGTATTTTACTTTTTTAATCTTCGTTTTTACCTTACTTAATTGCTATCACATAAGGTGGCTTACAAGCCCTCTATGTGATAGCATATTAGGTGGTGACAGGTACTTTTTAAGGTGAGATTAAGAATCCATTAGACCCCTAGTATCACCTTTCCACTGCAAAGAAGCCATTCAAGCACAGCTTTTCTATCCGGGGAATGACATCTGAGGAACTGGACATGATGCAATCAGCATCACGTCTGGTCTCACTCAGCGGGGAGGAGATTGGTAAATTAAAAACCTATTATGCCATTCTGAGCCAGTGGCAGTTGAGCCCAGGAAGCAAGACAGGGAGCACACTTCACTGGCTTCTGGAAAGCTGATTGTTCACTTTACATAGCTGAACAGGACCCATTGCCAGCGATGTACGGAATGCAATCACTAGAAGGAAAAGGGTTGTTGCCTTAAAGGAGAACTATGAGGTGAGTGCTTTTCACTCACCTCATAGTTCTAGCCGACCTGTGACAATGAGACTTTCAAAAGTCGGCTTAGCAGATCGGGAGGTGAGCGAACACATACAGGCGTTCGCTCACCTCTCGATCCTGTCACGGCTCTCTGCCGTGACAGGGGAGGGGATGGATTCCCGCCTCCCCGCCAGCGCTGACTGGCAGAACGGAGGGGGCGGGTCCAGCTAGCTCTGCCTCTAGATAGGCAGAGCCAGCTGTCAGTCACACAGCTGGGCGGATCCAGACATAATTGTCGGGATCCGCTTCAGCTGCGGCGTCTCAGTATAACGCGAGCAGCAGCTCGCGCTATACTGAGCCTAAGGTGACGGGAGTTTGTGTCCTCCCGTTACCCTAAGGAGAACTATGGGGAAAAGCCTTAACCCCATAGTTCTCCTTTAACCCCACCTCTAAAATGTAAACTTGGAGAGGGAGGTACACACACACACTCAAAAGGATTAAAAAAACTAATTGCAAACCCTTGTAGCTTGCCAAAGATAGCTGCGATTAAATGAATAATGTGGGTTGTGCAAATTACCAAGTGGTTTACAAAACTCTGAGAAGGTAATCACCTGAAAGTCTCAAATGGGAGATCTGTACACTGCAATGGGATTAATTTACTAAAGGAATAG